GGGGGGGGGCACCGTCTGGGCATCGACAGCCCCCCCGGGGCCCCCGCCACTGCTCACTCCGTCTCTGTCATCCCAATGAATTTCCCGGTCCCTTGTAACCGTTCCTATGGAAACTGCGGCGGTGATCCCGTCACCAAGGCAACCGGGGTCCCCGGGCAGCTGTTACGGTGTCGGCAAGGGGGATGCCGGGGTCTCCGCGCAGGCAGGGGGCACAGGCAGCACCCACGGGTGATGCCAGTCAAGGGAAGGGGGGGTGGGGGGGGGGATGGGACCGCCCTCCCTGCTGGGGACACCCCACGGGCGCTGGGGACACCTGAGCTCCCTGCACCCGCTGAGGCTGCACCCCCCCCCGGCCTGGATGGTGGGGTGAGGGGGTGCCCAGCCCCAGAGGGTAGCCCCCCCGCCTTACCCACGGCGGCAGGGATGGCACCCAGCAGCGCCTGCTTGTACTTCCGCAGGCTCTCGTCCCCCGGGTCCAGCTCCTGGATCTCCCGCAGGCTCTTCTTCTCCGGCGTCTTGTACGCCAGGGCCACGTCGGCATCCCCCTCCTCCTCCTCCTCCAGTGACAGCGTCACCCCCTCCTTGTCAGCCATGATGTCTGTGGGGGGGACAGGCAGTGGCAGTCCTGCCGCCCCGGGGACACCCCAGGGGGACACCCTCCACCCTGTGACACGCAGGCACCGGCGGGCAGGGGGTGGCCGAGGTGGGACACGCCAGGGATGGATGTGAGCAATCCCCCGTGGGCCAGCCGAGTTGTGGCCCCCTCCCCACACTCGGGGCCACGGTGACGCCACCGTGCTCCGTGTCCCCAGGGCCTGGTGGCACAGCTGAGACCCGAGGCGTTGCCGCCGGCCGCATTTCCGCACGGTCATGGAGCGAGAGGAGCTGGTTGTCTACGTGGTGTGCACAATCCGGGGGGGGTGCCTGCAGCCCACAGGCAACCTTCACACCCCCGTCACCCGGAGAGGTCCTTGTCACCACCCTGCGGCCTCCTCCAACCCCCAGCCCCACCTCCCACCCCAAACCCCAACCACCAGGAGCTGCAGGGGAAAGAAAAAATACCCAGCTCTGGGGTAAATAGTAGCTCTGGTGGGTGCCAGGCTGCTGGGGGGGCACAAGGGCGGGTGATGTCCCCCCCAGGGTGGCCCCTGACTCTGCCCTGCTGCCTGCAAGCCCCCCCCAACCCGTCATCCTTGTGACTGCAACCCCTGAGCTCCCCAAATCCTCTGGGACCCCCATCC